GCACTGGGTTCTGTCCTTAAGCCCCCACTTAGGCAAAATCACAAAGTTTGCTCTCTGAGCCTTTCTGCCAGCTACCAGACCAGCTGCACTGCTGCCTCCACCACTGGCCTGACTGGAGGGAGCTAAGGTCAAAAGCTACAGAAATTGTTCTGATGGATCATCAACTCACTGCCGCCCTTTTTCCTCCGGCCTCAGTCCTGCCTACTGACGGATGCTTTGTCTACCTCTGATTTTTTTTTTAGACTAAATGTTTCATCTGTGGCATTGGCAATGACTACTTTGACACCACCCCTCATGGCTTTGAAACACATACATTACAAGAGCACAATTTAGCGAACTACCTGTAAGTGTCCTTAACAGAAGTGACTGGTGGGGGAGGTGGGAATCCTGGGGTGAAAGGCCGTTGGAAAGTCCATTCTGTGCTGATGTCCTTTCTTTCTCTGGAAAAGTAGATGTAATTAGAAAAGGGTTCCAGAAGCCTGTAGCTTGGCCTCTTCTGCCTCTCTGTTCCAGCAACAGCCTGGCAGTAGCCCCCACACCCTCTCAAGGCCACACGCCTGCTGCAATCTCTCGTTCTCAAATGGATTCTTACTATCACCCTACAAACAGGCCTTTTTTGTTTTTAAATCCTAAAGAAAGGCAGTGACCCCATTTTAATTCCAGCTACTTCTCTTTCCCTTTCTATCCCTTGCCCCCACTTTTTGCTCACCCCATTCTCCTGTGAACTGTTCCCCGAGCTCTCCTCCCTGTCACATCACCCATCTCCTGGTTGGGGGCTGGTGAGGGGGGCCTGTGTGTGACTGTACCTTGGGGTTGCCTCAGCTCCTCGAGTAGGAAGGGATTTAGGATGTGGGTGGTCTCACCCTGCTATATGCACATAGAGCCAATGCCTCGTTCCAAAAAGGGCAAATAAATCAATCGTTGATTTTTTTCTAAGGTGAAACATGCACTCAAAGTTAGAATTTCTACAGTTAATGGAATTCATCGATTTTACCTGACAATTCAGACTTCCTTATTATTTCCAAGGAAGAAAAGTGGTGGGCTCGGCTTCCCTTCCATTCTGTTGTTGAGAATGTCCTACTGCTTCTTAGGACGGCACACACCCAGCTTTGGGGAAAGATGTTACAAGTTAAATAACCTCGGTAGAAAATCTGCAAGTTTTTGAGTACCAGCATGATGCCAAAAGGGAAAACTGGCATGTGATCTCACGTGGTGGGCCATCACCAAACCACACATGCGTGCTCACATCTCCTGGGAAACCAGGGCTCCAGGAGAAGTTTTTAATATCAGATCTTACCACCTTGTGCCTACTCCCTGTGGGCCTCAGGCCCCTCACTCATGCACAGGGACAGTCTCAACAGCCAACCCCATGGCTGTGCAGTGGTCTAGCCTCAAGGAGTGGCCACTTTGGTCACTGGACAGAATATGGAAGACAGAGAGTGATATGAGGCCCCGATAAGGCCTTGGGATTAAAGGGATCCTGGGACCCTCTGCCCTTAGAATGCCCCACATGACCTCATGGACAACCTGACCTCATGCCAGGACCGCTGCTCTCTAATCTGCTGGCTCACCTTGCATCAGCCTAGACACCATGTACAGGGACAATAGGCCCTGTTTGCAGAGGGAACCGGACGAAAAAGAGCCAAGGAAAACCTGTGAGTAACCCTAGGGTGCCAGGAGCTGAGCTCCTACCTTCCAGGTTCCTGGTGCTCATCTGAGAGCCAAAGGGAGCATTCAGGTGTTTGTCCAGTGCCAGCATGACCTTCTCTGGGCCCATCAGAGGTCAGCATGCACATGCCACAGACTTGCTTCCTGGCTGTGTAAAGGAATTATGGTGTGGATGGTTGGGGAGAGAGAAATAAGACTTGGTTTATACTATGCTAACTGCTGGCTCTCAAATCGCCTTCAAACCTTAACAAGCATAGAAACATAAGTGAGTTCTGTGTTTAGACATGTGTCCCATTCCGCAAGAGATCGTGTATACAGCAGGTAATCCAAACCCCAAAACGCTCTGGTTCCAAGCATTCCAGGTAAGGGACAGTCAATGTACTGTGGAAAGAAGCAACAGAAACAGGTCTTTTGGCTAGGAGTCTGTTACATCAACAACACAAGTTTCACTAAAAAAAAAAAAAAAAAACAAAACAAAAAAACAAAAAAAAACAGTTTTAGCATATCTTTTTCCTCATGCCTGAGTATTTGTCATTGATGTCTCCTGATGAAGTTTCCATCTTAATAAACAGAAAGCTCTCAGGAACGGTAAGCACATGGCTGACCATCAGTACTAGAGGGTTACAGGAAAGTTACACGATCTGGGTGGAGCCCTCTTCCTCGTTTTCCTGTCACACTTTGTGTTATGTCATGTTCCCATCTAGGCACCAGGCTGAAAGAACAAATGTCAACATATTCAACATTTGAACCTCCTACCCAAACAAAACCCAGCTTGGCTAAGTCCGTCAATATGCCAGGAAGGGAATCATGTCCAATATGCGAAGCTCTCCAACCTGGCAAGAGTGGTAACCTGCACCCTGGTTAAGCCCGAAAAAGCCAAAGGGAGAGAGAAACAGCGTTAGGGCCCCTGCGGAGGCCAGCCTCCACCCTGCCGCCCTCAGGACATCACTGCCACTTTCTCTCCCTCAATACCAGCCTGAAAACCACCTGAGAGCACCCCACTGGAGTGGAGAGTTCAATCCCCTGGGGTCCTCTTGCATCACAGACTCAAACCTTAAAGCCCTATAGCAGATAGAGCCAGGAAAACCACACAGGCATTGTCCAGCTGTAATAAAAAAAACAGAGCAAATACTATGTTGTTCACGCCAGATAGTCTTGAAATTTGAATTTCTGCAATCTTGTGAGATGATAAAATGGCAAGAATGTGGGCTACCACTTTATTGTTTTAGTGGGAATTTTCCTCATAAAATAATAGCCAAAACACCATCTTGCAAGTGGTTAAAGCTTAAGGTTTGGAGATGGAAAAATGATCTCTTCCACAAAGAGGCCAATTTTCAGATTACTGAATCACTACCTTTTCTAAATTAAAAACTTGAAATAATTATAAATTATAGAAAATTAATTAACATACATAATGTATTACAACTAAACATTGTAGGGTGTGGTCTTTTGCACCATTTCTCTGAAGCACAGCACTGATAAAGACAGCAAACATTTAAACCTTGTTTCTAGCTTAAGAAGAAAAGGTTCATTTACTTGCATAAATATTTTTTCTCATTTTACCTTGTTCCAGGTTCTTTCTGATGTATTTGATTAATAAAGACGAGACCGAGCACACGGGTCAGGTGAGACGAAACACCTTGAACTAGAATCGTACACCCTCGACAGGCCTTCCCTCCCCAAAGTCTTGAGTCTTAGCAACACATGCACTGTTTGAGACAGACAACCCAGCAGTCTCCTGTGTGGCTTTTTCATGTCTGGGACTTGAGCAGCCAGGGTTCTACGCGAACCTCCCTCTATCCCAGACATCTTCCTGATAATCCTTCCCCACCCATCCTGATGTCTAAACCATTATGGTCCCTGCTTTGGAGTGCACTTGCTGGAGGTGGGGGAGACAGTACAGAGGAAAAGGAGAGATGGAGTGGGTGGCTGCAGCCGCGCGCAGGAGCGGCACAGGGAAACTGTGAGACAGCGTAAGAAAGATAACGACCTTCCGAGTGCGTGACAAAGGGAGCCCGGAGGTGTGCGTTTGGAGAGGATGATGGAAAGATGTGTCAGGAGATTCTGTGACTAAGTACAGAAAACAAATGTGGAGGCAGAGGCCGAGCAGGTAGAAGGCAGTCATCCAAAACGCCAAGCAGCTCAGGCACTTGAGTGAGTGAGGAGCTGGGACGGATTCCAGCTCAGGCGGCAGCTCTGCAGGATTCTTCTCGGCGACCAGCCCTGAGGTGGCCTCCGCTTCCTGGGGGGAGGGGTGTGCGCCTCTCCCGCCAGCACCCTCACTCTCTGTGCTCACTGTTTCAGGAATCCTACGTCTGGAAGATGTACCAGGAAAGGTGCTGGGATTTCTTCCCAGCGGGGGACTGCTTTCGCAAACAGTATGAAGATCAGCTTGGATAAATCTGGGCGGAAGCAATGGTAACAATACTGGACGATCCGTTCCAGTAAAATTAGAACCCATGTCTAAACAGCTCTGCAACGTTTTTGAAGTGGTACATTTTCTAAATGTATCTTTGGAAACTGGCTTGCCTTTCAGACCCGACCCGATGGATGTTCACCGTGGGCAGTATCTGTCAAAATGTTAAAAGTATGATGAAGAATGGAGGAACTGCTGCTGATGTAACTAGTTTGTTGGTACGGGTAACATTTAGGAAAGAGCCCGAGCACTAGGACGCCTTGACTGTGTAATACCTGAAATTCTCAACACCTGAATGTCATATGACTGTATCCAACCAGTGACTCATTGTCTGAATTTCAAAGTCTCATTTAACTGCAGTCCAATTTTCCCCATGGTTCCCACTAGTGACCATACTGAGAATCAGCTTGAAAAGCTTAAGCAGTAAAAGAACTAGAAACCACCACCACCACTTTGTCGACACTGAGCTATCGATTAAGTGCCTTAAAACCTATTTAGATATAGCTATGCAAGGTTTTTTTAAATATGTTCCAGAGAGACAGTTCCATTAATTAGTTGTGTTGATCCTCTGTCTTTAAGAAACTTCACTTGAAAGTTCTTCGTATAATTTTTTTTCCAGTAACAGCTTGTCAACTGCTGTTATTAGAAGAAAAGTACTGTACTGAAATATCAGAAAACTTTTGATCTTATGCCAAAATCGAGCAATGCTTTAGGGAATCATATAAGTAGTGGAGCTGCTATGTTTAGTGAGTCTCCTCAAATCGAAGTGCCCACTGCAATAAAGTAATACATACCAACCCACGGTTTGGCTTCTTGTAACTCACGCTTGGACTGACAGCCGCACTGGGATGGTTGGGGAAAGCAACAAGCCCGAGAGCCTGAGGCGTCACAGAAGAACCAAAGTGAGAAGGGACTCCACAGACCAGGGTTTGTTTATTTTGGCCAATGTTGCTTGCATCTATTTCCTTCAGCAGCAGCACCTGCTAGCTGTAAACACTGAGAGGAAGAAGGCTGGGGACAGAGGGCACTAGGCAGCCTAATACATCATTAATCCCGAAAACCAATGCAGTGCACCTATTACAGTGTGTGATTTCAGGTGTTGTCAAGCACAGAGGTCAGGCACTGGCTGCAGTTAAGTGTAATGGAGCACCCTGGCCACGGGCTTCCCTGTAACCAGCTGCTCCAGGAGGCCAGCCCCACCCCTGCACTCACTGAGAAGGCAACCGACATTGTCTTCAGGCACTTTTTCTTTTTTGGCTTCTGTGTTAGGAAATCATACTGTCCAACCAGTCTTCCAGCTCCTCCTCGGTAACGCGCTTCGATGTACTCGCTTGCTCAGATTGCACATTCGTTTCTTCGGTCCCAGATGGCTTCGCAAGAACTGGGGAAATAAAAGCAATGTTAACAACATTAGAGCAGTCCCAGAATTAAAGGAGAAAGCATCCTAAGCATTTGCTTCAGGACATAATTCAGTCCTTACTACTTTTCTTCGAGCAAGAACAAAACATTCTCTTTATCGTTGCCCCTAAGATGATACAATAATACCTGAACAGATTAATAAGTGAGAACAAATTCACTCTTTTAGTCTCCAGTCAAAGCTCACTAGTAGTTGCTTGTTATTAAAAGAACAGTAGCTCATGTTCCTTTTTACTAGTGCAGCAATCCTGTCAATAAAATCATTCAAGGGTCTGTGGCAGTGACCTTGACTGGTCAGCATCTCACAGAATACTTACCAGTGACAAAATGTTTCTCTTTGCCAAAGTAATAAGATTGAAGTGGCAAAAAAAGGTATCAAGAGCTGGTTTCTGAGCCTCTGCAGTCGATTTGAAGGCCTCTGCTGCTGAATAAGGACTTCAGGTGTCTTAATGCCCTTTTAGAGCACAAGTTCAATGTGCAGCCCCAGGCTTACCCCCCAGTCGGGCTGATGGCGGCCCCGGGAGCTCGGTGGACTGTCAGGGGACCGTGGTCGGAAAGGCCAGCTGTGGGGCAGCGGAGTGGTGACGCGAGCAGAGATGTCTGCAGACAGCCACGGGGTCAGTGTCCAACACCAAGGGGGATGTGTGGGGGCTGTTACCAGAATGACACCAGGATCAAGAAGCGTGATGCAGACTGCAGCCAAACCCTACCTTTTTCATCTTGGGCCATCTCTTCAACTTCCTCAGACGTCAGGTCGTGAGATGGCTTGCCTAGGAAGTCATCTTCCTCATTTGCTGGGGGCGCATCTAAATTGAGCAACAGATCTAGTTCCTCTTCCAAGGGGTCTGCCATGGACTCAGCAGGTTTCTGAGGACCAACTGAAGGAGCCTGGGGCCTCGGGGAGGAGGCTGTGGCAGACTGCAGCTCAGAGAGGGACCCCTTTCCTCCGGGGACCAAGGGTCCCTTTAACTGCATCCCAAGGCCCTTGCTGTCATCGGGTCTCTTTGGTTTCACTTGCGGAAGCTCTAAAGGAACAGTGCTCTGCAAAGACAGAGTTTAAAATGTAAATCATGTTTGCTGAGGTGGAAATAAAATGCAAGCTGAAGATGCCATTCAAACTGTGTGGGGCTGAAGAACAGATTCAGACAATTCACAAAGCACCTGCTGCTTGGGAGCCGCCCTGACATCACCCCTGACCCGGGGCAATGTGGGACACCTCCCTGGAGCACGACAGGACCCTGCCTTCCGCTCACCCAGCCTCAGCCATGTGCCCACTAGCCCAGAGCTGAAATTAAGAGGTTTTAGGAGGACACTGGCCAGAAAGTTAGTACTACCACAAGGCTGACTATACATCTGTCTGTGAGACACTAACAGCTGTACGGCTCACCGGAAATGTAACCAGCAGTCAGACCTGTTCACTGGGTGAAGAATTCACCAATAACAACTCTCAGCAGTGTTATTTGAGTAATAAAATGCTGCCGCTGCCACTCTCTAGATCATACTCCTCTATGTGGGATCAGAGAGATCACGTCTGAACACTGACTGGCCCTGGACACTTGGCAGGAAAAAAATCAATAGCCCTCTCCCAAACACCCCCAAACATTCCTAAAGAATCTCCAGAGTGAGCCCAGTGTGACAGCCTAGTGGCTAAAACTTTGTCTTGCATGTGCCAGGATCCTATGTGGGCACCCAGCTGCTCCACTCCCCATTCAGCTCCCTGCTCGTAGCCTGGGAAAGCAACGGGGGGTGTAGCCCAAAGCCTTGGGATGCTGCACCCTTGAGGGTGACCTGGAGGAGGCTTGAGGCTCCTGGCTCCTGGGTGTGGATCAGCTCAGCTCTGGCCATCGTGGACACTTGGGCAGTGAACCAGCAGATGCGAGATCTGTCTTCTTTCTGTAACTCTGACTTTCCAATACAATAAAAATAAATTTTAAAAAACAAACAAAAAACCACCAGTACAACCGCCCTCTCCCCCATTAGAAGCAAACACCTCCCTGGAAGTCCTCTGCCTTGTCCCCAACCATCCTCCAATCCCAAATTCTGCTTCTGCCCCATGTTTTGGGCTGGGAAATGCAATGGGAACAGCCACTGGATAGCCAGCCAATGCCCTGCCCTGCTTGAGTGCAGCATCTCATCCTGCCCCAGGAGGGAGTGAGCATTTTACTTGCTACTTAAAAATGAACACTGTCCCAGAGATTCCCTTTTCTAAAGTTCAACTGAACCATAATTAAATGATGTACTTCCTCGTGATGTGGCCTTCGGCTCCCCTCTTCTTCCAGCCAAGTCATCAACTGCCACCTGCCCCTGGCATCACCCCAATTTGGATTTGTTGTCCATAATCCTGAACCATAAATTTCTGCATGTAAGTAACAAGTATCTCCACACTTGGATCTCCCACAGGCACAAACTGGGCATCCAAACCCTGCCCGTCCCTGCCCGTCCCTGCCCACCACTCAACTGCACACGCTGCCAAGTCGGGTTCTTCCTTGCTGGCTTTCTCTCCATTTCCAATGTAAAACGCTATCAGTCACCTCTGAAATGTCTCAAGTCAAGTCCCCTCCTTTGTCACCTCTACTCCAACCACAGAGCCACTCACCTCCCAGCACAGCTTCTTCCATAGCTGTGCCTTGGCACCTGTGAGCACGGGCAGCCCCGCCTAGAAACTCATGCTGCACCCCGGTCTGCTCTACTCGCAGCCAGAATGCTGACCCTCATCATGTTCATTGTACCACTGTGTTCATGCAGAGCTGACTGGGCCACTGTCCTTAGACTTTAATTTTCTGCTCACTGGACACACCTTCAGGAGCGTCACTGCCAGCCCACCACGGCAGATCAATTCCACATACGGGGTGGGTCACAGGACATGCAGTCGGTCTGTATTTGTGCAATTACCTAACTGGGTTAAAACCCCATATAAAGGACTGTCACTCCAACAAGGATAATCAAGTCCTGCATCCTTAACTATAAGGTATTATACTTTCATTTAAAAGTAAAGCCTTGGGCCTGGCGCAGTGGCGCAAGTGGTTAAAGGTCCTCGCCTTGCACACCCGGGATCCCATATGGACGCCGGTTCTAATCCCGGCAGCCCCGCTTCCCTTCCAGCTCCCTGCCTGTGGCCCGGGAAAGCAGTCGAGGACGGCCCAAAGCTTTGGGACCCTGCACCCGCATGGGAGACTCGGAAGAGGTTCCTGGCTTCGGACCGGAATAGCATCGGCCGTTGCGCTCACTTGGGGAGTGAATCATCGGACGGAAGATCTTCCTCTCTGTATATCTGACTTTCCAATTAATAAATAAATCTTTTAAAAAAATCTAGCTGTTCCACTTCCAATCCAGTATCCTGCTGATGTGTCTGGGCAAGCAACAGAGATGGTATCAGTTCTCGGGCACCTCAACCCACTGGGCTAGCCCAATTTTAGCCATTGCTGCCATCTGAGGAGTGAATCAGTGGATGGAAGAGGGGGTGTGGGAGTGGGGTGTTTGTGCGTCCGTGTGTCTCTTTCCCTTGCTCTCTAATTGTGCCATTCAAGCAAATGACTCTTCTAAAGGGGGAAGGGCTGAGTCTGAGAATCCTACAGAGGGATAAAACTCCTGCTTTTCTTCTCCATACCCCAATCCCCCCATCTTAACGGTGCCTTTGGGGCTGTTACCTGGATCAGCTCCTCAGCAACATTGAGCCGCAGGGAGAGGGGCAGTTCTTGAAGAGCTCGAACCAGGGACTCACTATCCACATAAAATGCCGAATTCTATATATATTTAAAGAAGAAAGGAAGAAATTATCAGGTAATGATTAAGTGCAACATTTTGAAAATAAAAAAAGCAACAAACAAGAAAAAGAAACCGTAAATAAATCATGCAGCGGAGTTGTGGCTGAGAGTAAGATCACAAAGCACACTTGATGCACTGAAGTTTTTTCCTCTCAGTGTCAAGATCAGCAAAACCGAAACCACTTTCCTGGGCCACAGCTTGCACAGCAGCAGCAGCCCCGTGACCATCCTCATGCCCCAACTGCAAGGTAGCCATCGCAAACTGTGGGGCTTCTCTACTACTGACAAGCTGGGAGAAAAATAAGCAGAGGAATGCCGGAGTCCAGCTCCAGCCGAGTTCGGAGCTCGGGAAGGGTGCGTGCAGTCGGCATAAAGATAAAGACAGACACAGACACAGACACTTGGTGCGTTCTCACCACAGCTCCAGAAAAAGCTGTCCTTTTTATTTTCTCAAAAACCTTTTCAAGCTTCTACACAAACAACTAATTGTTCTATTTTTTACTTCAAGACTAGGGTGGGGGGAGCCTGTACAGACATCTGGTCACTCCGTCTGCACTTCAAGGCTAAGCAGGTGCCCCTAAAGATAATTCTGCAAAATACTGTATTCATATTCTTCAAAGCAAGCTTTTATTTATTTTTCAACAGTAGCCATGGAGCAACAGCCAGGACTCCAAGGCCAAGGCACATGCTAATCAGTAGTACTTTCCCACCACATTTCTACTTCTACAATTTATCCATCATTTAATGGGAAAATAGGTTACAAGGGAAAAAACCTAAAATCTAAAACAGAAACTTCAAATGTTAAATCTCCCTACAACTATAGACTCCTACAACCCCATAAACAATAAAGCAATAATCAAAAGCATTTTTCTTTAATAAAAGCATCCTTAATTCCTCTAGCTAAAAATTATAAAAGCGGCTAAAACAGTTACATTTTCTATGTTCCAAAAAGTTGCAAAGACGGGCTAGCCTTTGAGATAACAATAACTATACTTATTGCCATAGCAGTTTCAGCTCTCACTCCCATCACTTGCATTAATAGTTAGGATATTTTCAAGCCCCTTCCCAGAAGGTGTGCTGCATGTCCGGGCCAAATTCTAAGACAATGGTTAAGTACCCAATAAGGTGTCCAGAAATGGCAAATTGTCAAAATGGTAAATTGTCAAAGGCCCACTCACCAAGACATTATCAGTGACATTAACTCTCAAGCTCACATTGGTGACAAAAGCCATCCTACAGAGGCAAACAATAATGCCTCAACAGATTACAGAATTCTTAGTAGGGTGGCTTGAGTGTCCTTGCAGCCAGGGGCTGAAACAGTGTCAAGGTGGTCACAGAGAAATCCGCCAGGCCTTGCCAAACAGCTGGAAGCTCCCCCGGGCCCTGCCAAGCAGGGGAGCTGTTCTCTTCACACCTTCATGCCATCCAAACCCACTGCATGGACCCCAGCAGAGGAAAGAACTGAGCTAGACACCTTCCCAATTTTTTTGTTGCTAGCCTTAGATACAAGAGGGAAGGGCTATTGCTACGCAGCAAGGGACCTAGAGGCCTTGCAAGGAGCAGGTATGGCACATGTGTTTCAGCCAGAAAGCAGATTGGCAGCCTCACTGCAATTCTCCCCTGATGGTCCCGTCATAGAAGTCATGTCGATGCACTGAGCTCACAGACTGTGTGAGATAACACCCAGATGACCCATGGCTCTAAACAACTTCCTCTAAGTGTCCTGGCCACACAAGAGAAGCAAAACATGAAAAGCTGGTCGAGGCGACATCGAGGAACAGCAAGTTAAGCCAGCACTTGTGCCCCCAGCAGCTCACCAGCATGCTGGTGTGAGTCCCAGCTGCTCTGTTTCCAATCCAACTCCCTGCTTATGCACCTGGGAAGGCCACAGACGACGGCCTCAGCACTTAGATTCCAGGCATCCATGTGGCAGACCTGGATGGAAATCCACACTTGTAGCCTCAGCCTGTCCTAGTCCAGGCTGGTGTAGCCATGTGCAACATGAATCAGAAAATGGAAGAGATTACTCTCTCCACCCCTCCCTCTACCTCACTACCTGAAGATCCCGTAGGAGCACCAGTTCTAGTCTCGGCCACTCCACTTCCAATCCAGCTTTCTATTAATGTGCCTGGGAAAGCCACAGAGTATAGCTCAAAGCCTTTGGGACCCTGCATGCATGTGCGAGACCTGGAAGCAGCTCCTGGCTGTGGCTCTTTGGGGTGTAAACCAGCAGAGGGAAGATCTCTCTCTCCTCTCTTTCTCTCCAGCGCTTTCAAATAAGTAAATCTTTTTAACAATAATTAAAGGAAATGTGGTCATAATACCCACACATTCAGAGGAAATGCCACTGACCACCTGGCCTCCCAGGGACTACCCCCGGCCCAGCTAGGACCAAGGCTTCATCTGAAACCACTGCTTCAAGTTAAACCAAATCCACAGGTCCTGTAGTTGCATCACTACAGTGCAGGAAAACCCCACATAGAAGGGTTTATCATGACCAGGGCGGGAACAGTATTCCTGGGGGCCCAGAGCCCTTTCTCTAGAGCAAGACTCACCCTAACTAAGGGTCCCCACACAATGGGAGGCTATGGGGATTCAAAGAAATAATCTGGCTTTTCAACTGCCCTTCTTAAAGTTGTCTCAAGATGGCTGGCTCATAGGCAAGCAACACTGACCAGCACCAACTGTGGCCCTCGTGCCCTGGAGTAAAAGATTCACATTAAAAATATATACATATGGTGTGTTTAACAGGATGGTGAAACACGAGGCCCTGCCAAGAACATTTAAGATTCTAAATACGGCCAGGCCACTTGTCCATGCTGAACGTAGCATGTCACGCGGGGGACCGAGAGCGACACAGCCAAGCCGTCGTTCTCCAGATTAGAAAAACCGCTGCATCGCCTGGCGATCCTGAGTGCCGAGCTCCCAGGGAAGTCCCAGAAACTGCCACGCTCACCCTTCATAACACTGTGTGCGACGTCACCCATCCTCTCTAGGGAACAGGGAAAACTTGACTGGTGATTCCTACCAGCCAAGACATGTGGGGAGCATTCCAATGTCCTCTGGCCTCCTCTAAACCACAGCACGTGATCCTGAGGGATATCATTAACAAGGAGCAGTTTATGAGGCCAGAGAGACATCCAGGGTCCGTCTCCCTGACTCCATGAGCTGAACTCCATGAGTGAACACAGCTCGGCTCTGTCTCCAGCGTGGTCTCCTTCCCCTTCTCTAATCCCAGCTGATCAGCCCACACCCAGCGGCCAGGGCCCTGCGTCCTCGGTGCCTTCACAGCACTGCGCGGCACAGTGACCCCCCGCCTCGCCGGGTGCAGACCCACCTCCACGCTGCTCATGTGAGGCAGGCTCTCTGTGGTCAGTGGCTGGGTCTGGTGGGGGGCTAATGCCTTGGTGAGCTGGACTGAATTGTTGGTAACACTGAAGCAGGAATTTTAAAAGCAGGTTTAATCTAGATATTAGCTGTGAATCAGCTTTTTATTACCCCTTTTAAAAATAACTGCTGGGTCAGTTTTGCCTGGAAAGTCCGGCCCCCACATCAACTGGTCAACCCTACTAGCCACTCACCGCAGGAGTAGGCGACGTGGCCGCCAACAGGCAGACTCACTGAGCATGCTGTGGGGGAGGGCTGCGAGAGGAGGGAGACAGGCTAAGGCCTTCTTGCCTGTATGTTCCAAGGCTGGGAGAAGGAAGCCAAGCTGGGCTGTCAGAACAAGGTCGCCCACCCTACTTGTACGCCAGCAGCAAGCTCAGAACCCCACAGGGTAGTGAGGATGCGCAGGAATTCGATCAGCTCTCAGGCTAAGGCCCTGGGAAGCACACAGTTGGGAGAGAAAAGAACCTGCTATAAACCCTAGTTCACAGCTGAAAGATGGTCTTTGCTGAGACCATTCTGCCTTCCCTCAGACCCCAAGCCTGGGGCTCTGGGACCAACTGTAGACCACATGGTGGAAATGCTCAAAGCGCATAGCACTTTGGAATAAGCTAGGAAAGTAAATGAAGGCACCTGTGTTTTTCCTGCCTGGCTCAGGGAACTCAGCCTCCCCCCGGGGATGGAGCTGAGACCTGGGGATCCACACCTTTGAAAGCCACTCAGGAACCACGGAATTGATCACCCAGCACCTGCTAGCTGTTCAAGAAAGGTCAACCAAAGAAAAATTAAAAACAGAATTAAAATGTCACATGGCTTTACAGATAATAGAGCCAATTTTTACCTGAATACATCTATAAGCCCACCCAAGGTTGGTTTCTTCCCACCTGGTCCCTGAGTCGGAGGAAGGAGCACAGTCGAGGTGGTGATGCTGGGTCCTTCTCTGGGCAGCATGTCCTTCAACCCAAATCCCATTTCCTTCCAGCTACAAATCGAAACACTCCTGTTTCCCCCATTCCCTTCACCATCTTACATGACTGGTCCTGCAGAGAGTCTGGGAGGCCATTGGGAACAATATATCTTTTTTTAATCTTAATACTAATCTGTCCCTCATCTTTTCTCTCCCAAGTAAGCTTAAAAAAAAAAAAAAAAAAAAACAGTGTGGAGAGTGTGGAGCTGAGTCCAACAGGAAGTAGTTTTTGGGGGAATGATGAATCCCATTTTAGACATATCTTACCATACCTTGGAAGTCAATTGTTCAAAGCCAAACTTAGCTTCTTTCTATGCTTTTATCCCATGGATGGCATCACCTCTCATCCTTCTATGCAAGCTGCAAAGCTCAGGCCTGCTGCAAAGCTGCTTCACCCTGCGTCTCGCACGTGGTCGTCCTCTGCTCAAGTCCATCTGTAACCTCCTTTTCTATTCCATCTCTCTTGCACGAAGTCACACTCCTGCCCTGCTCCTTTCCTACCAGCTGCGTAAATGGTGCTCCTGCTTCCGACCCTGCAGCTGTGCTGTCCCCTTCCCAGGATTGCAGAGCTCAAATGTAATCATTGCCATGTTTTACTCAACACAATTGTTAACAAACAATATTAGTAATATGCGGGACTCATATGCATCACAAACTGCATGGAGGCCTTATATTTGTTATCTACTTTCATCCTCATTACAACTCTAGTTGATGGTTTTTAAAGCTTCATTTCACGGGTGAGAAGACAGAAGGAAATGAAGCTTGCCCAAGTCATCAGACTAGCATTCACACTCGGGTCTGTTGTCACCCACATACGAAGTCGCCCCTGAAAGGAGTGCAGATCAAACTGCCTGTACTAACAGGAGCAGGGCACTCTTCTAGAACTCCTGCCCTCCAGCTCCACTGCCCACCTCTTCATGGTTCTCACACCCATTTCTCAGACAGGACGTAGCAGAATTGTACTCATCTACCAAGACCCATTCAAATCATCTCTCCCCACAGCACTGTTCTTAACCACTTCCAGACCCAGGCAGCAGTCCCTCTCTGCACAGCTGACTTTAGGCTACTTTTCTTGTCCTGTACAAGCCAACATCAGCTGAGCATCTACTTCAGGTAGGCCAAGGTGCTCATGTGTGGGACTTGGCGCAATGAACACCCGTCCTACTCGCCTGAATATGCTACATCTAACCAAGCATCTCGTGAATGACATGATTCACTTTTGGATAAAGAAACCTGAAATTGGGCCCGGCGTGGTGGTGCAAGTGGTTAAGGTCCTCGCCTTGCACGCCCGGGATCCCATATGGGCGCCGGTTCTATCCCTGGCAGCCCCGCTTCCCTTCCAGCTCCCTGCCTGTGGCCCGGGAAAGCAGTCGAGGAAGGCCCAAAGCTTTGGGACCCTGCACCCGCGTGGGAGACCCGGAAGAGGCTCCTGGCTTCAGATCGGCATAGCATCGGCCATTGCGCTCACTTGGGGAGTGAATCACTGGACGGGAGATCTTCCTCTCTGTCTCTCCTCTCTGTATATCCGCCTTTCCAATAAAAAAATAATAAAAATAAATCTTTAAAAAAAAAAGAAAGAAAAGAAACCTGAAATTCTCAAGATATTTTAAATACTCTGATATTTTACTTAATTCTAAGAGCTGAGATGTGATTTGTTTGATCTTGAGGGTTGTATTAGTTAGCTTGTCGTCACTCACTACGACAAAATGCCCGAGACAACTTGATAAAGAGGAAAGCTCTATTTAGCTCAGTTTTGTAAGTTCAAGGTCCATGACTGAGTGCGATCATTGCTTTGCCTCTGGTGGGGTGACAGATGAAAATGGCAGGAGCAGTTACCTCCTGGGCTGGGGAGCGGAGAATGGCACAGCCACCTCAGACTTTTGCAGCCAGCTCTCTCATGAGAGCACCTTCAGAGGCTGTGCCTCCAGTGACCTAAGGATGCCCCATTGAACTCCCTCCTAAGTGCCATAACTGGATTACATCTTAGCTCTCCTAATTCCATTAGCTCACGACTTTGGGATTTAAATGTGTGCACAAATTTGGGGGCAAAACCCTATGTATCCTATAGAAAATATACCCCTCCACAATCTCACTTTGTCTGCCTTCAGTTTGTCCCAGGAATTTTAAACTGTGCCTGAGGCTTATTCCCAGGTGGACTCAACCACAGGAAAAAATTTTATTGCTCAATTTTTTCTATATTATATATAATACATTCCTCATTTTTTAAAAGTGCCAAGAAGTTATTTACAAGTGAGTTGTCTCTCCACATGCCCATCCCAAATAAGCAAGCATAAAATCAATACAAAGGTGAAACGGGCCACCTGCAGGCTCAGATGCTAACCTGTAGAAGGATACAGATGGGAAGAAGCTGGGGAAGCACCTCGGGTAAAGGAACTATCATTGACAAAACAGCTAAAGGAGAAAGAAAATGGCAGTCATGCACTTTGTCAAATCATTACTTCAGAGCTTCCCCTCAGTGACCCAGGGGACACGGACAGCTCACGGAAGGTGCACCAGCTCCAAGGACCTGTGCAACCTCGGCCTCCTGAAAATCCACCCAATCATGTTACGTAAGAGCTAACCAACTGCATTAGCTCAACAATTCGGGCAAAGGTGTTAGCCTTCAGCATGCACAAGAGCCAGTTCACACTCACAGAGAGTGTTCTCTTACCTGTTTTGAACTTGAAGCTTCACTATCCCATTCTTTCTCTTCAGCAAACCGAAACTGTGAGAAGGAGTCCCCTAGGGAAAGAGAAAATACACAGTTCTATGCAAAGAGCAAAGAGAAAATGCTTAGCTCTCTAAATATCCCTCCTGGAACAGCAGCGCCATTTCTGAAGAGCTTCCCGAATTCAGCAACAGCACACTGCACGGTTCTGCCTTCCAGGCCTGGTATACATCTACTCCTGGTGGGTAATCAGGCATGTTGGTGGAACTAACATTCACTGCTTCATGCAGTTCAACAGCCGCCACCTAACATGTTTCTTGAAAGACAGCTAAACAAGTCGGGACTGCAGACATGGCCATCTACTGAGAATTGTAGTATTTTCTTCTCCTCTGTTGATGCAAGTAAGGAAATTTATTGGCAATTCAGGTTAACACACACACACACATACATGCACGCGCACGCGCACGCACAGAAGAGAATAGGAGAGCAGATTCAGATGAAACCAAAACCTAACACAAAGAAAAGCCTTCCTTACTTATGAAAATGACCTCAGGGGCTTCTTTTAAAAGTTCCTAAAGTACTTTTAAAACTAAGTGTCCTCGGGCCCGGCGCGGTGGCGCAAGTGGTTAAAGGTCCTCGCCTTGCACGCCCGGGATCCCATATGGCCGCCGGTTCTAATCCCGGCAGCCCTGCTTCCCTTCCAGCTCCCTGCCTGTGGCCTGGGAAAGCAGTCGAGGACAGCCCAAAGCTTTGGGAACCTGCACCCGCGTGGGAGACCCAGAAGAGGCTTTGGATCGGCATAGTATCGGCCCGTTGCGCTCACTTGGGGAGTGAATCATCGGACGGAAGATCTTCCTCTCTGTCTCTCCTCTCTGTATATCCGCCTTTCCAATGAAAAAATAATAAAAATAAATCTTTAAAAAAAAAAAATTAAAAAAAAAAAACTAAGTGTCCTGTGCCCAGCACAGTAGCATGGCAGCTAAGGCCCTCGCCTTGAACACACTGGGATCCCATATGCGTGCCGGTTCTAATCCCAGCAGCTCCACTTCCCATCCAGCTCCCTGCCTGTGCCCTGGGAAAGCAGAGTATGGCCCACAGCATTGGGACCCTGCACCTGCGTGGGAAGTTCCTGGCTCCCGGCTTTGGATCGGTACAGCACCGGCTGTTGTGGTCGATTGAGGAGTGAGTCAACAGATGGAAGATCTTCCTTTCTGTCTCTCCTCCTCTCTGTATATCTGCCTTTCCAGTAAAAATAAATCTTAAAAAAAAAAAAGTGCCCTGGGCCTGTGATTAGGATAGTGCTTGAGAGTCCCTCATCCCATATCGCAGTGCTGGGGGCTAAGACCCAGCTCTTGTTCCAATTCAAGCTTCCTATCAGTATACACACTGCAAAACAGCAGGTGTGGGCTCAAGCAGTCGGGTCTCTGAAACCCACACCCACGTCCTAGATTGAGCCCCGGTTTCCTGGCCTTTGCTTGCTCCATGCCCACAACTGTTGTAGGGATGTGGGAGCGAACCAGTTCATGAAAGACTTCTTTCAAAAAGTAAAAATGGTTTTTGCTAAAACTCTCAATATTCTAAGAACAGTGTTGATGTAATCTCTGTACTTTATCCAGGATTCTCATTCTACCTGCCTTCTCCAACTGGTCTAACACGTCTTACGGTTAGAGGCAAATGAACACCAAATCTGCTGAAATTTCTCAGTTATCAACATACTTTCAAAAAGCTTGCCATCTAGTCATAGAAAATACAGCTTTTAATGCTAAGCTAATTCTTTTAGCTCCATCAGACAAAAAGATCTTTCAGCTATACAAAAGTTCTTAACAATCAGAGCTTTCCAGTCAGAGTTCAGATGGGATTATGAAGAACAATCTTACTTAACTGGGCAGAAAGAAACCTGTCAACACAAAGTTTGAACAATGAAGATCAGGTAGAGAATGAACCAGGAAAGATGGAAAATGTGCCTGAGCTTATTACCAACTTCCAACAATTTGGTTGTGTAAACTCCCATAACTGATTTCTATCTTGGATATTTGATCTTTTAATCAAGTGACCCAGATACATGCGAAGGCCCCCTTTAGGAAATTTATTCTAGAAAACAAGGGGAGAACATATCAGATGGTTGGAGGTAAATTTAACTTTAAGCTCCATTTCCTGCGACTTCTTTATCATGCTCAACCCCCTTTGCTCTCCCCCCCAGCCCTCAGTAGAGTGTCCAGGGTCCTCCAGCAGGACATCAAGCCTCCGAAAGACCCCAGCTGAACTTCTGAGGCTGACAAGGCTCAGACTCTGACCTTCACAGAAAGAGATCGACTATGCAAAGAGTCAAGGGCTGCCACAGAAAAATGAAACTCCTTTTTGCCCTCTCCAAATAGTTCAAATGTCCTCACTGAGAGATGCCATAGGTAGAAGGTCAGAGTGGACTTAGGGTCCACAGGCAGATCATCTCAGGGAGGAGTCACAGGTCCAACTGCAGGACCAAGGATCTCCCTCACCACTCCCAGTCCTAGTTTCCACAGCTGTGGGAGTCCTTCCCTTCAGCAGGGTCCCTAAGACAAAGCAGAGACTGAGACTGTAATAAAGATGACACGAGCTACTACAGAGGCAGAGCTACAAGATTAAAAGGCTGAGTTACAAAAAAAAAGAGAGTGAGTGAAAATCATTGTTACTGCTCAACAGTGACTTATCATTACTTTCTCACCAGGTGCGGGGCTCCCAAAGCCCCTGAGCATCAAACGTCCACATTGAGTACTGCATAGTAGGATGTGCCTAGCTTCCCAAGCCCCTAAGAAGCTGCTCTCCCATCTGCAAGGACAATGGCCAAGGAACAGCCAGGGATCCTCGGGTATAGAAAAGGGTTCTGGGCTTTATGAGAAAAGAACGATGCTTGCATTCTGGAATTCAGAATCCAGCTGTTCCCCCCTAAAACTGTGGGAGAGGCATCCGTGCTAACCCTGAACCAAAATTCCTCAAAGCCATCATTTTCAGGACAAGTCCAACATCAAGCCCTGACGCAGATCTCCAAGGTCAGAGTGAAGAATCTGACAAAACTGAATGAATAAATGGAGATAAAATCCCAGCTTCACAGAGAGGACATGGTGGTAAGACCTTGAACTGCTCTGCACCAGCACAGCTTGTTGTCAATTAGATTAGGACTGGCTGCCTACAAGGGAGACCTGGAAATCTCAGCTAAGGACGAGATAGGGGACATGTCTCTGTCATTTAAAGGCCAATTAAAGTTAGGGCCAGTGGAAGCTGCTCATCGCTTTCCCTTACCCAGGGAGGCCCCTCTCATTACAACCCAGTAACTCAAACTCCTGTCCACCCATCAGAATTCCAGACACAAGGGAGAAGAATCGGAGAAAACGAGGCAGAGGCGTGCACCACCTGTCCATTGAGCTTTCCGAGCAATGACAAACCATGCATTTCCACTTATTTCCCTTCAGGCCAGAACTGTATCACATCATTAAAATGAAGTGGATATTAATATTAAAATGTTAAATATTAAATTTAAAACAAAGTAAATTATTTCCAGGTGGCCCCTTGTCCATGTATGAAGCAGGAGTTCTATTTCCCCTTAACAGAGAAAAATGGAGAGTAAATAAGGTGTTGGAGAACACGAAGCTTCAAGAAGGTTCTACTTAAAGTAGAAGCTTCCAGGACAGGGACCATGTTCCCTGAAGTGTGGGTTGTGCCTACTTCCCTGAAATATTTGAAAATGCCCAAACTTCACAATTGAGATTAAACTTAATCTTGGAGAATGTGCCTCTAAATTTTTTGGTTTTGTTTTTGAGTTCTAATACGGGATAAGTATGGAGTATAATTCTGCTTTCAAGCCTAACGCAATACCAGTTGCAAAGCAAATACAGCCTAGAAACTCTTCAGGGAGACATGGCCACTTGATTAGCGTGCTCACTTTTCCACACCATTTTCCTTTAACACAACTATGTGCAAATACTACCAAGTGCTGAACACGTAACTGTAGACAACACACCTTGTCTGTGCAATCCGACTCTGAGCTGAGCAAGACAAGAGAGAATCATATATAACAGATGTTTAAGAAAATTCAAATTCCCTCTTCAAAGGGTTAAAAAAACTTCACTGCGTTAAGTTGTACATTTGCAAATACACACAATGATATGCTCATGGTGCAGATTCAGTTAGGTTTAGTCTGCTTATTTGTATTTCATTTGTAACTTATTTAACACCTCAGATTTTGACTGTTCGGTTATCTCATGGTGAAACCAGCCGGCAGCAAAGGTCCCAGGTCTAATTTCGGAAGATGACAGTCTACAAATCCCACAAGCAACCTTGCAATCACACACATGCACTCTCAGGGAGCAGGAGGAAAAGCAAGTTACATCAAGACCTCTCATATTACCGCACGCATTCAGACAATCAGAGGAGCAGAAATGAACTCCTACACAACAATAGCCAAAACAAAAATTGTTGAGATCTACAGGAAGAAAACATGCAAGTTTACAGGATTCTCCAAACAAAAAAATGTACCAAGAACAGGCACTATGAATGAGTTCATCATTACAGAACATACAATGAAAGACAGACTCCTGGACTCATTTTGTGGGGTGATCATTAATGCAGGTTGGGCTCTCCAAGGAGAGATGATGCCTGAGCTGAGCCTGCAGGATGACTAAGAGCCGAGCGGGCAGAAAGCCGGAGGACTGTAACCCAGGGCAGAGCTGAAATCAGAACGTAGCTGGAGCAGGTGCCATGGGGACCTGCAAGGAGTCTGGGGTAACACAACATATGTTGTGGAGGAGCGACAAAAAATAAAAACAAAGGTTCAAAGTGAAAAAATGAAACCCTCCTGATGAAACCTTACAACCATAAATACGCCAACATTAACTTCTAATTCAACGAACTTCCAACAAAAACCTTATGAATAGTAATATTTTATATTTAATATAATCTTTATATTCAATGCAATATCATATAATCTACAGAAAATATTTAGGGAATTCTTTTTTGCTATAACAAGATAAATTATATTCCTTACAGATATTTTTTAAAGATTATTCCTTTAATTTACATATATATTTGTAAACACATCCTT